CATCAGGTTATATTCCGCTTTACACTCCAACTTAGCGCTGTTAGTATTCTGGAAGTAATTATATGACTTTAAATCGTTTTGCTATACAGTGTGTCCCAGATCGGGTGGGACTAAGTACATAGGTAACTTTCTTATTATTAAAGATAGAGAATTGGTTAAATGGACAATGTTTTGCAGTTTTAGATGCTTATTTAAGATTTCCTTGTGGACATTCAAAATGTCGAATAGGTTCAACGTAAATTTTAAAAAATTAAAATTGGTATACATAAATCTTTAATGTCTTATATCATCGAAAGTACAAGAGATATATAAAAAAGTTTTATATAAAAGTTACTGTCTTTAATACGCCTAATTTAGAATTGATGTCAAAAAAAAATTCAAGATGGCTATACTTTTGAGGAACATTTAGGTACCAACTTCCTAAAGTTAAATAGGCGCCATATTGGATTTTTAGATTATTTGATACATAACATTGAAAATAAGATACCAGTTATATCAACGGTTTTTATATTTTAATCAAGTAGACTATGATGAATTTAAAAAAAACAAAACAAAATCTATTCGAGGCAACAAAACGATGAAAGTAATTACAACAAACAAACGTCTGGCAAGTTTCAACTAGTTGCAAAAATGTGCCAAATTCTTGACAGAACAGCTTCTGCTACGGGGGTTCCTTCTGGATTTGAAGATTACCATCGGTTCCGCCCGGCAAGGCAAACCGTCTTCTTCTTAGGCTGCTCAATCGATAAAAATAAATGCTCCGGCTAACTCAAATCGGTGGGCTTTTAACTCTTTTGAAACTGCGTAACAAACCTTGACCTGCCGCCTACCAATCTCCTGCCTCAACTCCTACTCCTCCCTTTCCTTCCCCTCGTTCTTCGTTAAAGACAGGCACATTGAAACCAAATAGATAATATATTGAAATGAGATTAGCGATACAAACAATTTACAGGGATCTAGCAGTTCTTCTCTTCTCCTTGTAAAAACACTAGCTTAACAATGACAACTAAACTAAATAGAAAATCCTATCAGGTGAAACTAATTTACTCAAGGGGTGGCCATCCTCTACAGTTTGAAAATTGCAACAACAGGTAATCGTTTTTTAATCCAGCGTGGGCTGGGACTTATTTAAATAAACACAAACATTTATCCTACTCTTTGGTAATCGTTCATAGGACTTTAATAAACGATCAAATCAAAAATTTTTTTACTATAGCTCAATTACCAAAAAGTGGAATTTTACAGAATGTTACAAATTTAATTAGACTAACCTTTACAACATTTGTACAGCCGATCTTGTGAACTGCTCTTTCCTCTGGTACAGGGTGGATGTGATGAAACCTGACACTTAGGTGTCTGTGACTTCCTAGGGGGTGGCTTGAATTTAACACACGGAAACAAAAATCCACGGTGCCTATCCTTCCTCGGAACGAAAGCAAAGTTTAGCATTTGAACTGAAACTTAGTCCAGGAAATCCTTCGCGTGGCGAGTGGGAGACGGCTAGTTGCCAAAGTTTCTACACAGCACGTGTATTTAATTTTATTTTATTAGTTTATTAGCTTTGACCGCCTGCGGGAGACGGATTTTTGAGTTAGCGGTACGGCAGAACACAAACTTTTATGATCACTATCCGACGGTAAACCGCGATGGTTCGACGTATTATTTCAGCAGCTCTTCTTGGGGCAAATATCTCTCCGAAACGCAGCGTTCCTTCGACAAATGACCGTACGGCACTAGTAGGAAATTCCACCTGGGGCGGATCCCGAAATTCTGCGCCTTGAGGACTAGTGCAGCACTTTGACTTATATATCCTCGAGAAATCACAACGTATCCTAACGCGATTCACTGCATCCAAAGTAAACTGGGGTGAAGCTCAAGGGTTCGCCAAAATATCACCTGATTGGAACCTGGGTCTTCTTCGCCAAAAAATCAACGCGAAAAGAAAATAACACTTCGAAACGGGTGCAAAAAGCACGCAACTGCGAGCAACCGAAATAAGCCGGTGGCTCAAACCGCCAAGTGTACCAAACCGATCGCTCAAGGTACGTGTTGACCGCTTGACGTACTAACCGCGAGTCTCTTCAAAACGATCACTCAAAGTACGTGTCGACCCCTCGACGTACCAACCGCGAGTCTCTTAAAAAACGATCCCCTTCTTCAGAATTGAAATGAGAAAACCACACCCAAACAAAAATGGCTCCCCTTAGAAATTCTCCCATTGGTTTAGATAAAGAAGACTTAACCCACTCTAACTTCGTCGTCAACCTCCAGGAACTGCTGAATAAACTGATCTCACGGTTTTCTGCTGACGACGTGAAAACTCCTTATCTCTTGATGGCTCGGTGCTATATCCGCTCCTATTCTCGGTCTAGACGGCGCCAAAGTTGATAAACGAACGACAAAAAACTCGCATTACTCATGATGACGTCAATCAGCTTTGCACTCTTCCCACGACGAAATTAAATCTGAGCGAAATTAAATCTATCGGACCATAGTCTTGAGCGAACCGAAATGCCCAAACACAAAATTTCTAACCGGAACAAATAATGAAATATACAGGGTGACCTTCACTATCATGACAAGAAACTTCGAAATTTTTAATGAAATTTGGCGCGAAATCAAACCACTCGTTACACTTCCTAGATCAACTCTTCACCGTTTAACGTCTTCGCACGCTTTTTTACTCTTGTTTGTGTTACTAATACTTAGGTATTACTAATAATTCACATATTGTCCAAAGTCTAAACACAAAGCTCCTTTTTCAATCGAAACGAAAGAATAAGAATGACATTTTACAACTGATTCTTAAGTAGAGGGTACGGATATAGAAAGATATTAAATAATCATATCCCTTAAGCTTGTAAAGCTCTCTGATCTTACCCTTGTTTGAGGAACAATATTAAAAAAAATTTGACAGTTTTACATCCTTTATGCCTAATGTACATTTGCGAAATTTTAACGAAATCATAGTAACCGTTTTTGCGAAATTTTTTTTTATTTTATAACATTTTTTTGTCAGTTTTTTTATAATAAAACCTGGCACAAGTTTTGTAGGTTATACAGATAAAAATAAAGTTTTTAAAATACTTTAATAAAAATTTTAGATTGTTATTTGAAAAAAAAAGTTCGATGCCGTTGCGGGGCTCCAAAATTTTTTTCAAAAATCCCGCCCGTTATTATTCGTTTCCGTATGCCTAATATACATATCCAAAATTTGAACAAATAATACTATCTAAGAGAAACTAAAAGGCGAAAAAATCTATTCCAGAACGAAAACGCTCACGTCATCCAAAGAGTATCAATTTTGAGGTTTTAAAATCAGTCGTTGGTATGTCACCGATCGTGCTATAAAAATTACATCAACAAAATTAAAATCAATCGTCTTGATGTTTTTGCACATCTCTAATTTTTTTAAATTTTGTTTTGTTTTCGATTTATTTTTTTGCAGAATTTCTATGCGGTAATAAATAATATGAATTTAAACGAATAATAATTATGTTATTACTATATATATCACATCAACTGTCCATACTGTCCCCGCCATCTTTTTTTGAAAAAGTGTAAATAAAGTTATTGTATTTCTTTTTCACTTAAGCAGGCACTTTGCCAGCAAATTATGATTCTTTTGCTACTACAAAACTCGGTTTTTGGAGCGGCATTTCACCCACCATCTTAATCTTTGTTGATTGCAAAATTGTTCATAAAATAGTAATAAGTGGAAAAACGTCATAAAAATCATGATGACATTCTTGTTAAAAATGTTAAAGCGAGTTTTAGTCCCCATTTTGACCGCCAACCCGGCCTTACCAGCCGGAATTCGGGGTGGTGACAGGAAAACCGGATTCAGCAGTTTCCGGATTTGCCGTTAGAACCTTTACAATGCGCATTATTGAAATTCTTGCCCAGGCTGTTCCTTTCAGTTCAGTTTTGACCCCAAATGGAGGCTATGTGAGGCTGGTCCCCCATATTTTCCAAATTGATTTTTTATGACTGGGAAAATTGTGGGAACTCTTTCTAAAATGCAGTTTACGTTATGTGATTTTGCTTACGATTTCCCGTATGATTTTTCGTACGATTATTAATTCGACTTTTCTTGGGGGTTGTTTTGGTGGGTTTCTGTTTACGTTATACGATTTATAATCAACAATTACGAATCAGTATGAACGGATCCCAAAACAGGACATCTCGCAAGAGAAATCGTAAGCAAAATCACATAACGTAAACTGCAGTTTAGACTGATCAAGAACTCTAGAACTTTATCGGGGACACCCAGAACTGTCACAATTGCAAAATTATTTAAATATGAGGAGAGAGCCAACTTTACATATACTTAGCTTCCGAAGAAAAAATTTATTCTTCTCGTAGATTACTTCTAGACATTCTTTATTTTGTGTGGGCGATATTCAATTTTTACTGGATATCTACTTTTGAAAAAAACGACGTATTGCGGCTAAACGACCCATTTTAAGCATCATGTGTAATACATAAAGTTACTTACACCAAAATTGACCAAGGAATCCAAATATGTAATAATATGCAGAGGGTTTCATTAACAAAAATGCAACTTTGATATAAATCACCCTGTATAACAACTACTACGGCCCACCCTGTTTATTTTACTTTGCGGTAGCTTTATTACCGTTATTGATTGTGACCATGTAAAAGACTACCCGTCTTGAACCCAGTGGTAGTCTCGAAATCAAACTTGAAGGCCAACAACCCTTACAAAAAATAATTTAAATACTTGACAACCCTTACAAAAGCCAACTCTCCAGAGACCGTTATCAAGGAAAATTAAAAATTTCAGCCGTGTAATTTAAAAGATTTAACTTTTCATTTAATGCATTGGTGACTAATGATACGAAGGTCGTGCCGACGTTGATCTCTACCTGTTATCGCTTCACCTAAGAATTTGTCACTCAGTAGTTCGCGAAAATTTAAACGGTGCGGTATAAATGTAGCGTCATTCCAGTGGTAAATTCCCTTGCAGAAACTGAACAAAATAATACGGCTAAGTGGTGAGTTTTTACTTTTGTTTAATTAATATAAACTCGCTAAACCCTGAATGCAACGACAATTTTGATAAAATAGGTGCCAAAGTATGATTATATCCCCTATTCTATTGAACTCGCGTTCTGGGTCCTTACTACCCCTGTTCTGTTCATAGCGCCGTTAGCCTTTTCTAAGATGTTAGAATCTGAAGTTTGACTTCTCACGAGAAGAAGTAAGTAAAAACCCAGAAAAAAGGTACATATTGATCATACGATTAAATTAAACTCCATTGTAAATCATTTACCAAATTTTTTCATGTGACAAGGGCGATAAGGCTTTAGTAGGTAATCAACATTGGTATGTGCCCGATGATATTTTAATTACTAATTAAAGACTTAACTGCGGTCAAAAAGTGTTTCCCGTAAAAGAAGGCCCTTTTAATGACTAATTTTTAAGCAATTTTTTCAGAAAAACGCCGAATACATCAGCGAGAAAAAATGCACAAGAAATCAAATTCGCAAATTTTACACCTAACAAATGTAATTGTTACTTCTAGAATATCCTTCTTCAAATCACTAGTGGCATTAGTAATTAGTACAATTACGGTAATACATAATGCAGCGTATACAGGGTGCTCATTTGAAAACTTCCCACCGCGGATCTATCGAAAACCACTGATTAAAGGAAAAAACGCCGAGCAGGATTTGTCAAGGGGGACAACTTTATAACCAAAAACTGCTTCACCCCCTTTCACCCTCTGCCCCCCAGGGTCATTCCCTTAAACATTTTAAATGACAATTGGTATCGAGCAATAGCTTGTTTGAAAGGTCTTTCGAAGTACTTTATTTTTACGTTTGATTTTTTAAAATCGGTCGATTCGTTCTCGAGGAAATTAGAAAGATGTTTATTCAATTTATTTAATCGACCTATCTTAATTTGTTCAGATAGAAAACAAAAACAAACGAAAATATCACTTATTTGTTGCTATGGGTACGAAAGAATTTAAATTGATGTCAGTTACCTTTGTGACACTCTTGGGATAGCGAGAATTAATGTATTGATTCAGATTTTAGGATTTTATCTTTTCTATCTGAACAAATTAAGATAGGTCGATTAAATAATAAAAAAAGGTTTTTCTAATTTTCTCGAAAACGAATAGACCGATTTAAAAAAATCAAAAGTAAAATATAGGACTTTGAAGGACCTTTTAAACAAGCTATTACTCGATGCCACGTGTCATTTAAATATTTTAAGGAAATGGCCCTGGGGAGCAGAGAGAAAAAGGGTGAGAAGTCGTTTTTGGGTAAAGAGTTGTCCCCCATGACAAATCCTGCCTTGGCGTTTTTTCCTAGCTTTCATCAGTGGTTTTCGATAAATCCGTGGTAGGAAGTTTTCAAATGAGCACCCTGTATAATACTTAGGTATGCTTACTCACCATCAAAAATTTATTTTAGGAGGTGTATCGTCAATTGAAATGAGAGAAGCAATTGCAGACTTGTTCTTAGTAATTATAGGGATATATGTTTACCTGCGGAAATTATACACTGCATAAAGGATGAAATTAGTATCCCCTTAACTATCGTAATAAATGTTTGTTTGAATGAAGGAATTTTCCCTACAAATAAGACGTCAAATTACAGACTAATTTCTATCTTTTTCATTTTTTCCAAAATTTTGCATACAAAGTCAAAGATTTTTTCGAATTTAACATCTGTAACAATTGCAAGTATTAGTCCAGGAAACGAAACTTAAAATAGTATAAAACCTGGCAATTTTTTCAAAATGCATCGATTTGTATGAAAATTTCGGATTAAGTTCAACTTACCCTCCACTTCAAAATCTATATTATCATTTTTTAGCTACCCCTCTTTGCCAAAACCCATAAAACTACACATATATTATAACTTAATGCGGGTAAAATTTGGTTCAGATGAGTTGAGTAATTATTGTTAGAGGCTTTGGAACATTATTTCGAGATATTTCAACCCTTAAAAATCAACCCTTATTGTCGTTTAATAAAAAAGAAGTATTTACCCTCAAAAAGTTAATAATCTATTATTGACGACAGTTTTTTAGTGTGCATTTCGAACAAAGGATGGTGTTGAACCTCCTGGTAGATGGTGTTTCAAACGGTGATATAAACATTAAACAGTTCATAGAGAAATAATGTTTGTGTATATGTGCAAAGGAAAAAGTTACGGGCAGCCGCGCACGTAGGTATACTCGTATCGATATCTCTCGAGTGTCATACTGAACATCTCGGAAGCTATTTTCGAGTCGAAAAAAACTTAGTTTAACACTTTTCATTTGAATATAACCCATGGTTCTATTTTGTTTCTTTAATTAAAATTCAGATTTTCAAAGTAGTGATATTCTTTTTGAATCGCCCTGTATATACATTATATACTGTATAAGTGTATAGAATGGATGTAAGTGTTTATGTAAGTTTCTAATGTGTGGGATACGAAATATATACATGTCATGTAGATCATCATGCTCTGATTTGTGCTTTCAACATTTTTTAAAAAAAATTGTGATGATTTGTTTTTTAATCTTCCTTTATTTTTTATGATGGAAGGTGATTTAAAAAAAACGATTTTGTAGGTTTTTACAAGAGCTATAATGATATTTACATCAATCCCTTTAAAACTCTTAGTTTTAAAATGGAGGACTAAAACCAGGTAGTTCTTGCATATAAATACACGATTTAAACGTGTAGGTATATCTCACTTAATTTTTGTCGTACAGAAAATTCCCAGTGAGCAAAATGTTTGGTATTAAAAAAGCTACATTTGAATGCTGTAGCATTTTTTACGTATATCCAGTTGTTTTGTAGTTATTTTGAAGAGAAGTACGTTTTTCACAACATTGCAGAGATGCGTTTTTCACTTTTAGATTCAATTATTTCAAAGTAAGTACTAAACTGGTTACACTTCCATAATGTATTAATAATACGTAATTATAGAAAACTGGAAAAGGGAGAGGACTAATTTTAATTAGTGTGGTAATTAGGGGGTTTCTTGCGCTGATTTTTTCTCTGAAAAAGGTAATTTTATAATTATATATAATTGTTATGTAAAAGTTTGTTTTAAGAAAAGGTTTTTTTAAATACTTTAAAGAATATTCTACAAGTTTTTCTCATAAAATGCATAGTTTTGCCGATTTTTGACTGTGAATCTATCCTTTAACAAACGACAACTCGGTTCGTATTGGTCATACAGCAAGTATTAAAAAACCATTTTCTTTGTTTTTTTAAAAGCTGCGATTTTGATCTCCACAGTTTTTTAATAAAATGCATACTTTTCGAGGTTTTAGCGAATAACCAATTAAAAACATTGATCTTTCCTATGAAAAACTCCTACCTTCGGTCGCGAATAACTGGAGAAGTATTTACTTTAAAAAAAAACTGTCATTTCCTGGACTAATATAGTATAATCATTTAATTTCAAAAACAAATTATTAAAGTAGGTATATCAATATTATAACACTAAAGTACAAAACAATAATAAGAGCAGCTGTTGCTGTAAGACGCTGTTTCAAAAGAACCAATCTTTAACAATTAATAAATATGGTCAATAGGTCCACAAGTGGAATACCCGCCAAAATAAATACATGCAACAATACAAGGGCCTCGACAAGGTACACAAAAAAGGTAGAGTTAAATTCATGTTGAATGACCAACATATAAAGTCGTTAACAACCAAGGCACATGTAACATAAAAAATAGCCATATACGGTCCTTAACAACAAAGACACGTTTACATAAATAATGTTACCACATTTATGTTTTTTTTTTAAACGGCAGACTCAAACTTCGGCAACTCGAAGCAGGTAACACTTCGATCTCGAATGATGGATGGGAATTCACGATACTTGCCCAATTTGCAGATAGATCAAGCTACCAGTTTGTCGACTACTCAGGTGTTAACGATAGGTAATGTTTCGGTGCAGATAAGATATCCCGGAAAGGAACTAAAATAGGGAACTTAAACATATGCTGATATGATTGGCTTGCTTACCAGAATAACTGGGGTTCCCATATAAGTAGAATAGAGGATAGATCATGTGTTAATCAACTTCGAATTTGTCGGGAACATGTAATATAAACTAACCTGTAAATAATGACAAATATTGTAAACAGCGGAAATATGAAAAATATGCTTATAACTCTCGCCAGGAAAGATTGCCGGTCACAGAACACTTGATCCCGATCTACAATCTCTGTTTTTCGTAAGGTGCTAGCGACTTCCGGGATAGTATCGTGTCAATGTTGAACGAAAAGACTTTTTGTTCAACATTAGCACGATCCTATTCCAGAAGTCGCTCGCATCTTAATAAAAACAAAGATTGTAAATCGACACAAGGTGTGCTGTGACCGGCAATCTTTCCTGGCGAGAGTTATACCTAGATTAAGGTTAGCAAAAACTCAATCCCCGTTAAGACGTTTCGATAAATAATTTCGACAATTTTAACTTTCTTCAATTGTCATAGGACCAACTCACATTTTTTATTCACACCCTGAAGGCATATTCAGTCAGACACTTCTATGGGTACATTCAACAAGAAACGGAACGTTACAAATTGTAAAACGGTCGTGAATCTAATACCGACAATTATATGTAACGTACGTAGGTAGTAACCAAATCACCAACCACAAGCTAACAAAATTTACAGATCTCTCCCTTATATAAAAAAATGCTCTTAAACTCAAGAAACTGTCATCAATGCTAATAAGTCATCAAACACTGTCTTTAACTAGGTCTTTAATCTTTTTAGATGAAAGATAAAACAACTATGTACTTTCAACACCCCTTACGTTGTACCTATACAAAATTTCTTGTCTAATTGTCACAGGCAATATATATACGTATAGGTAAAACTAAAAGAGACCTGAAAGATAATAGGAATAAGGAAGCTTGTGCACTTGCATTGTCATTATATTTTAAAAGTTTCTTTTTTATTAGTACTTTTTAATTTTTTCTTATTCTTTTAAGTGTTATATTTGTGAGGCTATAAACAAAGACAA